CGGGCGCCCATGAGGTAAGCGGACAGTCGCGGGCCGGCCTGACGTCCCCGCCCGCCCGGGCCTCAGCGCCTCAGGCCCCGCTGCGTCGCGTTTCCTCTTCGGTCTGGCTCAGGGGTGGTCGCCGCGGTCCCTCGTTTCCCGTCGGCTCTGCCTGGTTCTCCCGGGAAGGCGCGTCCTGGCGCCAGGACTCCGCCGGCCCGGGCCGAGAGGGGGTCCGCCTGACCTGCCCCAGTGTCTCTGCCGCTGTGCCCGCTCCGGCGGAGGTTGTCCGGGCCTCGGGGCCCCGACCTCGGCCGCTGCGCGCCCGCTCTCCGGCACTCGGGGTGACCTCGCTCCTGGCTCCCCGCCTCGGGCTTGCCCAGTCCCGCGGCGCAGATGAGGCTGGTCTAGCCCGGCCTTCCTCCTCTGCAGGTGGCAGTGTTTTCCCGCGTTGAAACGTGCGGTCCCCCTGTGCTTGACTAATTAGTGAGACGGCTGCGGGGTCCTGCAGTGAAGTTACCTGGAGAAGCCTAGGCTGGAGCAGGGTCAGTGTTTGTCCCCTCGGGTCCGGCGTGAACGACACTCAGATTTGGTTCAGGGATCTTGAAGTCCATTTTGCCTGTGCGTGTAAGCATGACACACGAGGATGCGGGGTGGGGCTGGGAGGGGGGTGAGCCGGGCCCAAAAGCACATTTAATTCATTTTCTGATATTGGACCAACCTTGCATCCTGGAATAAATTCTACTTGTTCTTGGTGTATAATCTTTTTAATGCACTGCTGAATTCGGTTTGCTTATGCCTTGTTCAAGAAGTTTGTCGCAAGGTATCTTTGGATTTCTTTCTTGATCTTGTTAACCCACTCATTGTTTAGTAGCATGTTATTTAGCCTCCCTGTGTTTGTGTGTTGTTTCAGTTTTCTTGTCAGTGATTTCTAGTTTTATACCATTGTGGTGGGAGGAGGTGCTTGATATGATTTCAGTCGTCTTAAATTTATTGAGACTTGTTTTGTGGGCTAACATGTGGTCTATCCTGGAAAGTGTTTCATGTGCATTTGAAAAGAAGTTTATTTTGCTGCTTTTGGGTGAAATGTCCTAAAAATGTCAATTATGTCCACCTGGTCTAATGTATCAATTAAGGCTGCTGTTTCCTTGTTAATTTTCTGCCTGGATGACCTATCCATTGATATCAATAGGGTGTTAAATCCCCTAGTATGACTGCATTACTATCAGTCTTTCTCTTTATGTCAGTCAATATTTGCTTTATATATTTAGGTGCTCCTACATTGGGTGTGTAGATATTTACGAGTTATATCCCCTTATTAGATAGATCCCTTTATCATTATGAAATGCCCTGCTTTGTCTTTTGTAACATTCCTGTTTGAAAGTCTATTTTGTCTGATGTACATATTGCTGCCTCAGCTTTTTTTCATTTTCCATTTGCATGAAATATCTTTTTCCATCCCTTTCCTTTCAGTCTATGTCTTTCTATCTGAAATGGGTCTCTTCTAGGCAGCATAAAAAACAGGTCTTGTTTTTTTTAATTCATTCAGCCACTCTGTGTGTTTTGAGTGGAGCATTTAGTCCATTGATTGGACTAAGGTAATTATTCATAGGTATGTAGTTATTGCCATTTTACTGTCTTCTGATTGTATCTATAGTCCTTCTCTGTTCCTTTCTTACGCTCTTGCTCTCTTATTTCATAGTTGGTGACTTTCTATAGTGTTGTGCATGGATTCCTCTATTTCTTTTTTTTTTAATATCTTTATTGATTTCAGAGAGAGGAAAGGAGAGGGAAAGAGAAAGATAGAAACATCAGTGATGAGAGAGTCATTGATCGAGCCCAAAACCTGGACATGTGCCCTGACCGGGAATCGAACCCCGATTGCCTGGATCCCAGGTCGAAGCTCAACTGCTGAGCCACGCCCAGCTGGGCTCCTCTATTTCTTGTATATATCTTGTGGATTTTTGGTTTGTGGTTACCATGTGCTTCATATATAACAAACTATGTTTACAGCAGTCTAATTTATGTTGGTGGTTGCTTAAGTTTGAACACATTCTAAAATCATTACAGATTTTTACTCATCCCCTCCCCATTTTTGTCTTACTTTTTACTTCTTGTATGTGTGTGTATCCCTTGATTTATTGTTACAATTATACATGATCTTCCTACTTTAACCTTTTAACTTTATACTAGTTTTATAGTTGGTTGATGGACTGCTTTTACTAAATGGTTGCCTTTGTCAGTGAGACTTTTTTCTTTCCTATATTTTCTTATTCATCTTTTTTGTCTTTTCTACATAAAGAAGACCCTTTAACATTTCTTGTAATGCTGGTAAAGTGGTGATGAACTCCTTTACCTTTATCTTATCTAGGGAACTTTTTCTTTCCTTCTATTCTAAATGATAGCTTTGCTGGGTAGAGTAATTTGGGTTGTAGGTCTTTGCTTTTCATTACTTTGAATATTTTGTGCCAATCACTCATTTCACTTTCTGCACTTGTATGTCTATTTCCTTCTCTAACCAGGTTAGAGAAGTTTTCTGTCATTAGTTTTTCAAATAGTTTTTCAGTTTCTTGCTCTCTCTCTCCGTTTTAACACACCCATGATATGAATGTTGGTATGCAGATTACAGATTACAAGAAGACTAGCTATGTGGAGAAGCTTCTACTTTGAGACAGCTTCACAGGGACCAAGGATGGGAGGTATGGTGGCAGTCACAAGATGGCCAAAATAATTAGTCCCCAGTTGGATGGGATTTCTCTTGGGACGCTATCTGTGCCTGCATTGGTCTCAGTTCTGGGAGTCCTCTCTGATGGACAGGCATCAACAGCTTGGCCTTAGACGATTTGGGCTGATGTGGAGCCAACTGTGGGTGCTGAGGCTGGTATGGAAGGTGGTGGTGGTGGGTTTACTAGCCATGTGATGCCCTGATGTCCACTTGTCTGCCCCCAATGTCATCTTACGTCCTCATCTTTTTTTTTTTTTTTTTTTAAATGTTTTTATTGATTTTGGAGAGAGAGGAAGGGAGAGGAAGAGAGAGAAACATCAGTCAGCTGCCTCCTGCATGCCTCCTGCATGGAGACTGAGGCCTCCAACTCCGGTCCCTACTGTCATCCATAAGCACCTGTGGTCAACTTGTCTGTAACCTTGTGTGTGCTTCCTGTCTTTCTTTGTCCAAATCTTACCCCTTTAGGCTCAGCTTAAGTCCGACTTCTTATATGATACCTCCCAATCGCCTATACTCTTTCTTCTCTAACTTATATTTATTGTTCTGTAGAAACGTATGCTTGGTTACAACCTGTGTCTTGTGTGTGTAAGTGATCAGCCTGACTAATCATGCTCTGCTTTTCTAGAAGGAACATCTTGTGCCTTAAATCTGCACCATATCACCTGTGGAAACATGAGGCAGGCCATCCTTCACTTAGGCCTATGACCCTCTTTTTCCTCCCCCAGGACCTCAGTCTTGTTATTGTGTCTCCTTTCTCACCCATCTCTTTATCTTTTACTGGGTCATCTCATAGCAGTGAAGTATTCTTAACAGCTGCCATCTTTATTATTTATTTATTTGTCATCAGTATTACAGATGTCACCCATTTTTCCCCTTTTCGCTCCCCTCCACCCAAACCCTGCCCCATCCCAGGCCTTCCCCACACTGTTGTCTGTGTCCATGGGTTATGCATATAACGGCTCCTGTCTTTAAACAACAATCAGCTAACCTTGATCTACCCCACATTCTTTTCTCGCTCTGCCCCACTCTTCTGCTCCCTGTCAGAACAAACTGTAATGGGCTATCCGTACTCCCACATCTTGCTTATCTTCAGTTTGCTCTCGTCTATATTTCATCCCTTCCTCTCCCCTGAAAATGTTCTCCTTGAGGACACCAGGACCTCTGTGCTGTCAAATTACAGTGGACACTTGGCCACCCGGCTCCACCCCTCAGCACCCTCTGTAATTAACAACTTTTTGGAATACTTCCCTCTTTTGGCTTCTGTGATACCTCTGTGTGGTTTTCTCTCTCTCTTAGCAACTGCTCCTTCTTCGTCTCTTTAACCACTTGTCTTTATCTGTACACTCTGATTCTGCCACAGCATTCAGTGCTGTCTGTAGTCTTGTCTTTTTCTTCCCAATGTGAATGCTGGGGAGACTCACAGTTCTTGATCCTTGAAATGTTACAGCTTTCAATACTGTACAGTGCTGCCCGGCAGGTGTGGCTCAGTGATTGAGCAATGACCTATGAACCAAGAGTTCCCTGGTTTGATTCCTGGTCAGGGCACGTGCTCAGGTTGCAGGCCCGATCCCCAGTAGGGGGTGTGCAGGAGACAGCTGAGCGATGTTTCTCTCTCATCGATATTTCTCTCTATCCCTCTCCCTTTCTCTCTCTCTAAAAAATCAATTAAAAACATATTAAAAAAAATTGTACATATGCTAATGACTCCTAGACCTCCTTCCATTTCATACTTGTATATCTAGCCGCTGCTTAGTGTTTCCATACAGATGCCAGATGGGCTGTAAAAGTTGAGCATTCGATTGTACACATACACATGCACACACTCACATTCACACTCAGCCTGCCAGCCTCGTTCCCTATTCCTTCCTGCTCCTTCACACTATAGTAAGTGGCCCCAGCTGCTTAACCCAGGAACATAGCCATCATCCTTAATTCCCCTTCTTTGCATTTTAACATCCAATTTGTTGGCAAGTTAAGTTCTGTCATTTCTACTTCCAAGACAGTCTAGTCATGTCTTTGAGTCCACTGCCACCATCCTTGTCTGAGCCACCATGATGCCCCCTGGACTACTGCTACAGCTCCTAACCCGTCTCTGCTTTCCTCTCATCCCACAATCCAGTCTCCACCATGGAGCCAGACTGATCTTAGAAAACATTTCAGATTATGTCTTTCCCTCCTTTAGTATTTTCCTGGCATTTAGGATAAAATCCCCACATCCAAGGGCAGTGTGTAGTGGCTTTCTGCCTTCATCTCCAAGTTTCTCTTAGATCATCTCCCTCTCACTTTTCATGCTGGGTTCCTGCTGGCGTTATCTCTGTGCTTGGGCTCATTAAGATCTATCTCATGTCAGAGCCTTTTACACACTTGCTTCTCTGTTTGGAACACTCAGATAGCTGGTTCCATTTCGACTATCATTTCTTTTCAAATTTCACCTTTCCTGATCATGGTATTAGTTACTCCTTGTGACTTGTCTTATTTGATTATTGCTGCCCCTCTCCCATTCACACTCACACACACTCTGTCTCTCTCAGATGTAAGTTATTAATGACAGGGACCTCTTTACTGTTGCTTGCTGCTGTATCGAACCTAGCACAGCATGTGGGACCTAGTCGGTCCTTGCCTATTTGCTGTATGAATGATGATTGTTTTTTTTGCAGCCTTTTCTCATGAAGCATACACACTTAGTACAATGGAATGAAATACGTTTGGTTTTTCTTTCTAGTTCGAATGCTTGATATCTCCTTCTGAGCTGAGTGAGAGCTGGTCTCTCATTGCTGACAGACGTGATGTTTTACCGGTTGCTCTCTGTGGTCCAAAGACAAAGAACCCGCCGAGGATGGCAGAATTGTTCCTCAGCCAGAAGCAGTGCTTCAGCGGCCGATGCACATTCTGTCACCCTGCCTGCCCAGGCGCAGGTGGTCATCTGCGGTGGGGGAATCATGGGCACATCTGTGGCCTATCACCTGTCCAAGATGGGGTGGAAGGACATTGTCCTTTTGGAGCAAGGCAGGTAAGGATTCAGCTGGACATGGAGTCCCTCCTTCCCTCTCCTTTTGGTGATATTGTCCCACCTCTAGCAAATCAGTGTTGCTGAGTAGTATGAGAAGAATCACAGGTGGAAATCCTGTACTGTGATTTGTTTAGTGATGCCTAAAACTCATGTTTTCTGGCTTTAGAGAGCTGGCAGATTCCAGCAACCCAGTCTCTGAAACATGTACTTATTTCAGGTTTACAGCACATCTTGCCAACTTGTTCTTCTTAGGCAGCAACACAAATCCTGGGGGCCAAGGACTTCCTCCAGGACTTGAAATGAAATTGTCTACATTCTGCTCTATTTCTATTAGTTTTTCATTTAACTAATTTATTTTTTAAAATATATCTTTATGGATTTCAGAGACAGAAAGGGAGAGGGAGAGAGAGAGAGAGAGAGAGAGATGTCAGTGATGAGAGTCATTGATTGGCTGCCTCCTGCACGCCCCCTACTGGGGATCGAGCCCGCAAGCTGGGCATGTGCCCTGACGGGGAATCAAACCTCGATCTCCTGGATCCTAGGCTGATGCTCAACCGCTGAGCCACGCCCAGCCGGTCAGTAACTTATTTTGAAACAGTTTTAGATTTACAGAACATTTGAGAAGGTAGGAGGGAGTTCTCATATAACTCACCCTCATTTTCACTTGTTATTAACATATTAGTGTTACCTTCTCATTAATGAACCAACATTGACATGTTATTACTATAGTTCATAGTTTATTTGAATTTTTTCATTCCCCCTTAGTGTTCTTTATCTGTGTTAGGCTTTTTAAGTTCTATTGCCTACAACAAATTGAACCTTTATTTATTTCTTAAAAGGCAATACATTCACGAGTCAGAATAGAAAAGTGTCCAGGGAAAAGAGTGTCCAGGGAAAGTCCCTCTCCTGCCCCTGACCCCTAGCTTCAAGTTTTCCTTGCTGGAGGCAACTTAAGTGCCTGGTGTATCAATCCAGATACTCTCTCCATATAGAAACAGATGTGTGTTCATCAGTATGTATTGGTGTGTATGGGTGTTCATTTATTTTTCCCCGTTTTATACAAGTGGTAGTATTCCTTAAACACTGTTCACACTGTGCTTTTCTCAATAGAATTGTTCCACATTGTTGCATAAAAGCTTTCTCGTTCCTTTTTCATGGCTGTAGAGTATCCCATTGTGTAGGTGAACTCGAAAATTGGACATCAGTGTCATGTCAGTGGGTGTGTGGGTTGTTTCCATGTTTCCATATGACAGAACAGTGCGATAGTGTGGGACTTGAACTTTCTGCATTCACAGATATGTGAGTATACCTAACAGCCTTTTGGATCCATCCTGCAGGCTAGCGGCTGGCTCTACAAGATTTTGTGCTGGCATCGTAAGCACTGCCAGGCACCTGAGCATCGAGCAGAAGATGGCTGACTATTCAAACAAACTGTACCAGCAGTTAGAGCAAGAAACAGGGATCCAAACAGGTAAGCAGATGACAGTCTGCCATTTACTAGTGTGCCCGTCCCCAGAGTCTTTTCCTCCGGACTGTGTCTGGTCCCATGTGAGTTGGCCTGGTCATTGGTAATTCAGACCTGAGCTGTAGTCTAGGCTCTGCCACTAGTCAGAGTATTACCTTGGGCAAGTCATTTCGCTTTTGATCTTTGTTTCCCTATTTTAAAATGAGGGGATTCCGTCAGTATTCCAGATCCTTTTTCAGATGCTGTAATTCTTATGAAAGTTTTCCTGGGCCATTTTCTGTATATTTCACTTGTTGAAGCACAGTAAGTGGCAGCGCTGGCTCCTAGAGGAGGAGGAACTTAAATTCATGTGGTTGGTAGTTAAATCATAGTTTGACCCATTGAACTTCACCAGTTGCTAGTAAGGATGTTCCTGACTCCACAGCATTCACATATTTCTGCTTCCCTGTGTAATGAGGGGTGAAGGACACAGGAAGTTATAAGCTAACTAGCACTGGAATAAGTAGAACTGTTCCAAGAAGAGAAAGACTCATCTACGTGATTGTCCCATACGATTGAAGGTAGAAAGAATGGCTATCAAATTGTTGTAAGGTGATGGGTTACCCAGAAGCCCAGTATCAAGCCTGCTCTCAGGGCAGATGAAACTGTTTGGTGGTGCACTAATTATCGTGAGTGGGTAGGAAGGCCCAGTAGTGAAATTCTAGACACTTGCATATGTCAGGGTTGATCTTTTGAAGATGTTGCATAATTCAAATCACAGATAACTCAGGACTAATCCTGACAAAGGGTGGTAGCTTTTCTGTGTGCCAGCTACAGTGGCTCTGCCATGTGATCAGAGTGTAAGCACAGTGTGTGGTTTACCTCGCCAACCCTTTTAGAAATTATGTGACATATGACATTTTTATTAGGGAAGGATATTTGAATTATTTGAAATTTTGATCACAAAGTAAGGGTTTATAACATTTCCATTTTATATAGTTCGTACTGTCATGAAGTGTAAACTTATTTGTATACTATAGAATAAGACCAACTGTCTAATAACTAGGATTTGATAGCTGTGGAGGTGGAGAGAGGAGATGCCAGGAGAGGAGCTAGAGGCCTAGAAGGAAGAGGCTGTGTATTCTTGGGCACATCACAGGGCCAGGATTGGGGCGAGGTGAGTATGCACTTGGGGTGACCCTGCACAGTCACAGCGCTGAGAGTAGTGCCGCCTTACACGGTATGTCATGGGCGCCTGGACTACCCATGGTGTCATCGGACTTGGCCAGGCCTCCTGTTGAGAGGCAGGGCTCTCGAGTGAACATGATAAAAGTGCTTCCTGCTTCTGCACTGTCTCTGGCTTTCACTAGGGAAGATGCTGCTATAGACAGGACAGGCGGGAAACAGTCCCTTTGGTTGGGTTTAATGATGGCAACAAGGTATTGGTGTTGTATAGGTTAATACCTGGTTAATCATTTATTAACCAGGGTTTGAGTCAGAGTAGGGTCCACAAATGGGCCTAGAGATGAAACTGCTGACTCCTGGGCCATTAGGTCAGATCCTAGTGTGTTGCTGAGCCCTGAATTGCTCAGCTGGTGGGATTCTAGAGGAATCAGGGTCATAGGCTTCTTTTCTGTAAGGTAAGTGAGCTTAGCTTGCTTTCTAGATCACCATCTGGAACCCTTATAGGGCCTGCTTCTCCTTGATGCTTCTGGGGCAGTGAGGAAGTCAGGTAAGCAAGAGTAAGGGGTTCAACCTTAGTCTCACACCACTGTCATTTGCCAGTGGTGCAGGGAAAGGTGACACAGGGCCCCCGTGGAGGAGAGGTCTCCTGTTCAGTTGGGCAGGTGACCTGCCATGGTCACTTCATTCAGGGACTGCTATTGAGTCATGAAATAAGGATGAAGTGTCACATGTGCACTTAGATTTAAGGGGAAGATATTATCTGCTTATCCTTTGAAAAAAGTTCATTTACTTGAGGTGTTTCATTAACTTCTTGTTAATCACACTTACCAAATGACTGAGTCCTCATTGCCTGACTGAATGTTAGTGTTGGGAGTGCTTCAGTTTGAATGTGATACAATTTTTGTAAAGTGAATGAAGGTAATGTAAAAGCTTTTATAATCCTTTGAAAGTATTCTGTATATTACTTGATCTTATAAGGGTCATTCTTTTACAGCTGAAGAGACCTGGAGTCAGGGAGTTAGCTGTTTTTTCAGTACAGTGATAATGCATTTTAAAAAATTATTTAGTGGGTTAAAAGGAACATATATACAGTGGTACTCGCCTATATCTAATCTATGGTAGTGAGTAGAAAATAACTCTGAACCCTTTGTTTCTCTTAGTGTGAAATTCAGGCTGTGATTAATCCCAGAAATCACTGGACACTCTGGCAGATCTACTATATTTAAACACCAATCTCTGACATTTCAGTTCTCCTAACTGAGACATTCTTGTCATGTCAGTGAAGGGTATATTTATATGATGATTTCAAACAAATTAACAAAATAAGTTATTCTCACTGTACTTCCTTTGAAAAGATAACTGATGGATTCAACTCTTTCTTCATAAGAACTGAAAGTCATTACACTTTGGAGGCTTATCATTGACCCAAGTGTAATAAGGTTGTGTCAGGTATGATGGTTACAAACAACAGAAAATGACTCTGGCTACCTTGGGCAAAGGATTTTGTTGGAAGGCTGTTGGGTGCCTGTAGATTAAGCAGGAGGTTGCCAGCCAGAGGCAGCGTAGAGTCCAGGACATGGTTCCCCACAGCAGGCAGTGCCTCAGCTGGAACACGAGCTGTGTGGCCTGGATGCTCTGCACCTGAGATGTGTGGCCTCCAGCCATTCATCTACTGTCTCAAGGCCAAGTATTCCAGAGGGTTATACTGCATTGAAACTCCGGGAAGAAAATCTAAACAGTAAAGAATATAATGGAACCCTAGCTGGTTTTGTTCAGTGGTTAGGGCATTGGCCCTCGGACTGAAGGGTTCCAGGTTTGATTCTGGCCAAGGGAACGTACCTTGGTTGCAGGCTCATTCCCCGGCCTAGGTTAGGGCCCGTGTGGGAGGTAACCAATCGATGTCTCTCTCTCTCACATTAGTATTTCTCTCTCTCTCCCCCTTCCACTCTTTCTGAAAAAGCAATGGAAAAAATATCCTCAGGTGAGGATTAAAAAAAAAAAAGAAAAAGAATATAATGGAATCAGTTATACACCCTGAAGACTTTTTTAGCAACGGCGTCTTTCTTTTTTTTGTTGTTAACCCTCCCCTTAGGATACTTTTTCCATTGATTTTTTTTTTTTTTTTTTTTTTTTTTTTAGAATGGAAGGTAGAGGGAGCGCTGGAGAAACATCAATGTGAAAGAGTCACATTGATTGGTTGCCCCCTGCTTGTGCCCCAACTGGGGCCAGGAATCGAACCTGTGACCCTTTGGTCCATGGGCTGATGCTCTTACCACTGAGCAAAACTAGCCAGGGATTTTTTAAGAATGGTTTTATATGCATTAAAATCTCATTTGATCCTCACAAAACTGAGCTGAGAATGTTTGGATGGTGGCAGTCCCAGGACTCCTCACAGGTCTTCTCACTTATAATCTCACCAGCTTGCCTCTTTGCCACCCTGTGTTTGTCCTGATCTGTCTCAGTCTGGGCTTTCTTACAGGTTACATAAGGACAGGCTCCATCTTTCTGGCCCAGACTCAAGACCGGCTGATCTCCCTGAAGCGTATCAACTCAAGGCTGAAGTACGTATGAGGCTGAAGCCTGTCCTGGCTTCACTGTACCCTGACCTCTGCTGGAGGGCCAGTGATGTCATTGTCCCCTTGTGTTCTGTTGCAGTGTTATAGGCATCCCTTCTGAGATCATCTCCCTTAAGAAAGTGGCGGAACTGCACCCTCTCCTCAATGTGCATGACCTGGTGGGGGCCATGCATGTCCCAGAGGATGCAGTGGTGTCCTCTGCTGACGTGGCTCTCGCCCTGGCAAGTGCTGCCTCACAAAATGGTAAGCAGGTTAGGATTAGGGAGGAAGAGGTTGTCTAAGAAAGTGTCTCACAATAGGCAATGACACCAACTCAGTTACCATTTTGTCCACTGGCTCCTTTTGTTTTAATACACTATCTGTTACTGTCTTTCCTCAGGGCCACATTTTTCTTATTAAAGTCCTAAGGAACTGCTTTAGTGCTGATTTAGTACACTTCAGACTTAAGGGGCTCCTTTCGTCCACTGAACTGAGAAGCTCCAAGGTTAGAACACACCTTGAGGATTTAATTCATAGCTTGGATCATGTCCCGGGTTTGCAGTGAGTGAGGGGAAGACACATCGGTGTCCACAATGTTGTGCACTTTGAATGAACTGATTCATGATGTGGGTAGGTTAGGGTTTTGGATGCCGTTTGAACTTTTCTCTACCCCTTTTATAATTCCTGGAATTTAATTGTGCATTAAAGTTGGTTATTATATTTTCCTACCATTTTTTTAAAGGCTGTATTATTATTATTTTAAATATATCTTTATTGATTTCAGAGAGAGGAAGGGAGAGGGAGAGAGAGAGAGAAACATCAGTGATGAGAGAGTCATTAATCAGCTACCTCCTGCACACCCCGGCCGAGGATTGAGCCTGCAACCTGGGCATGTACCCTGGCTGGGAATCAAACTGTGATCTCCTGGATCCTAGGTCGATGTTCAGCTGCTGAGCCATGCCCTGCCGGGCTGCCTGCCATTTTTAACCTTGGGAAAGTCTCATTTACAGCCTGAGGATGTGGTTCCTAATAGTTTTTTGTTTGTTTTTTTAAATTAAAGCATTGACCTGGCCTCTTCAGTATTTTTTTATGCATTGAGAATCTGCTGCAGATGCTTTAATTCTGGAACATCAGAGGACTGATGCCCCAGCTCCCAACTCTTTCTTTACCTTGGAACAGGTGTTCAGATCTTTGACCGGACAAGTGTTGTTCACGTGATGATCAAAAAAGGTCAAGTTACTGGCGTGGAGACAGACAAAGGACAGATCGAATGCCAGTATTTTGTCAACTGTGCTGGTCAGGTAGGTTAGTAACAATAGCGGGCCACTGGTTTTCTTATTTACCTTTCATCTCCAGGATTTTTTGGTGTAGACTTAAGATTATATAGTGAAAAGGAAACAGATGTCAGGACTACACTTTCTTGTGTGGGCAGGAAAACTCAGGGTTCTTGTACTCCAAAGAGGACACCTGTTCTCTTCCCCCAGTAGAGTTGCGGTGGCCTTTCCTTCCTCCTCCCTGGGTGAACTGGTGCTCCCCTGTCAGGGGGCCAGGAAGCACTTGGGCATTGACATAAATCCTTGGCATTGGGTCTTTCTGTGGTGGTTTATTTCATTCTACAATCTAGCAAATAAAGTATTAGGCTGTTTTATTGTGTCAGGAGCATGGATTCAATTTCTAGAACACTAAGCTGTTTCTGCTTTGAAGACAGTTGGTCCTTTCCGTCCACTGTGCAGTTTAAGGTGACCTAGGAATACTTCTTGTCATGTGAAGTTCATTTATGATTGGTACTTGGGGTTTGTCGTTGAGGCCAGGCATTTTGTTAAAAGGCCTCATTTACTCCCCATGAGTTCCTTTTGCTACTGGTAAAATCTGTCTTCCTTTGATCTAAAAGTAAGTTTTATGGTTTAAAAAGTCTCGTGTTGCTCCCTATACAGATAATTAAACTAAAGCAGGCTGAGTCTTGGCTTCCCACACCTGACACTGTTGCAAGAGCACACACAAGCCACTTGAAATTAAACTGTTTTCAAGTGGCTGAACTTGCTCATTTGTCTTTCTGTTCCTCTTCCACCCACAAATCAATCTGTCCATTTGTAGTGGGCATACGAGCTGGGTCTGTCCAACGAGGAGCCGATTAGTATCCCGTTACATGCCTGCGAACACTTCTACCTCCTGACTCGCCCCTTGGAGACCCCTCTGCAGAGCAACACACCAAGTGAGGACCTGCACTTTGTTTTTAATCTTGTTTTCTTGCCACTGTTCTGGCTTCTGAAGGAAGACGCTCTGCTAAGGACAGACTGCCCGAAAGCGTCTTGTCTTTTCTAGAGCATGTTATAGGGAGGTGGCCCAGTTCTGACTTTTAAGAACTCTATGAAAGGATGGCCAAAATGGGCATTCCGCTTAAGCAGTTTTTTTGTTGGTTTTTTTTGCAAGCTAATTGTAGTCCCAGACAGAGGTCTAAATTGACAAAATTTGGAATATAAGCTGGAGTTTTTGACTTGAATGCTATATATTGTGGGAATGTCATAGGTAGGCTATAAACTCAGGGTATTCAGGGACCCTGAGTGCTGTAGGAGAAGGTTTGATTTCACTTCAAAGGCCTGAATAGCTGGAATGGGCTTCACAGTCCCCCCTCTTTTTAGGCTTATGTGGCACAGTGGCAGTTACGTAGTTTGTTGTGAGGACAAGTCAGAGCTTCTAGGTAACCGATCTAGTAAGAGGTAATCAGAGAAACAGGCTCCACTATAATGGTGAGAGGGAGAAGCCTCCTCGACCTGGAAAGGTATTTTTAGTGATTGGGTGTTTCTGTTTTGCTTTTTTTCTGTCCATTTAGAAAGCTGGCTTACCTCTAACCCCTGTTTTTCTCTTCTACTCCCCACTCCCTTGTCATTTCTCTTCCTCAGCTATCGTGGATGCTGATGGCAGAATTTACATCCGCAGCTGGCAGGGTGGCATCTTGTCTGGGGGCTTTGAGAAAACTCCGAAACCAATTTTCACTGAGGGCAAGAACCAGCTGGAGATTCAGAATCTACAGGAAGACTGGGATCACTTTGGTGTGTGAACTAGATAGTCATAGTAATGCCCTATACTTATCTAAGATGTTACATTTTTCAAAGCATTTTCAAGAATAGCACCTTACTTGATCTTTGTAACAGCCCCATATGGAGGTTATGGAGGGCAGGCTACAGAGTTTGCCTGGTCTCAGGACAGTTACTCAGTAGCAGATTCAGGAGACTAAATCTTGGACTTTGGCTTGTTTTTTATTTATTTACCTAAAATCACTGCTGAAATTTTAGGCTAGGAGGAAACCTTTTCTTAGGATTTCATATAAGATAAAGGAAATTTTTAGAAAGCAGACTTACTCTGTTAATATGGTTTTTTACTCAAAATAATTTTAATTTTATTATTGAATAGTTAATATAGTCACAAGGTTCCAACTTTAAAAGATATGAAAGTCTAATGAGGAGTTTTCTTCCTACCTTAACTGATTTTTTTAAAATGAAATTTTCCACAATAAATAGTTTAAACTTCTAAAAGTGGAGAGCATAGCATAAGGAAATCCCATGTACCTACCAGCAGGCTTCATTCTGGTGTCACATCTTACCACTGTCCACTGGATTACTCCTAGATGATGTACTGACTTTAAAACAGGCTGAGCATGTTTTTGCAGCCATCCCAACTTAGAAAACCCTGCCCTTTCATTGCATCTCTTAGGTGCTACGTGAGAGCTATAGCACTGAGCCCTTCAGATCCTTACCTGTAACCACGTGTTATTTGCTCTTCCATAGCTCCTTTCCTTTCCAGAATATCTTCTTTCTCATTCTTCATGCCAGGCACTTCGTAGGTGTGTTCCATAATTCCAGCAAGTGTTCTGCTTTCTGATACATGGCCCAGTTGGCTCTTCTTAGAAAATCCCTTCCAAGAAATTTTATGAAAGGACAGGGAGTAGGAAAGTATGAGGAGTTGGAAGTTTTGAATTCCCCCAAGTTGAGGACTCTGTTTGGCTTTGTTGTTATTGCTTAGAGCCCCTGTTGAGCTCCCTCCTGCGTAGGATGCCAGAATTGGAGATGCTGGAGATAGTGAAGTTGGTGAATTGCCCTGAGACCTTCACGCCAGACATGAGGTGCATCATGGGCGAGTCTCCTTTGGTTCAGGGCTACTTCGTCCTGGCAGGAATGAACTCTGCTGGCCTTTCATTTGGTGGAGGAGCTGGAAAGTAAGTCTTTGTCACACTCAGTTTGTTGTGCTTTTTTCTTTCTAGAATGACTTGTTAAAATGGCATATAACATATAAATATGGTATGTTAGTAATAAGATACATGTAATTTTAGTGTCCCCTTCAAAGTAATTACCATGGAAGGCTCTCCTGATATTCCTGAAATGTTGTTGTGCAGAAGGTTTTTGGAACTCCTATGTTGGAGTTAGCCACTAAACCTGTGGGATGGATGTTCTTGTGTACTCTCAGTTGTAACAAATGTGGGTCCTTTTGCATACTTGAATTTGGAAACATCCAAGTATGGTGAGTGAGATAGATGATCATGCTGAGTATTATAAGTTTTTATTTAAAAATTAGGTACTAATAAAAATTTAATAAGCTGGTCATAAAAGGACAAATACTGTGTGATTCACTTCTATGAGATACTTAGTTTAATTCATAAAGATAGATAGTAAAAAGGTGACTGCCAGGGGCTGGGGGTAGGGAATGGAGAATGATTGCTTAATGGATAGAGTTTCAGTTTGGGAAGAGGAAAAGATTTGGAGATGGAAGGTGAGGAAGGTTCACAACAGCGTGAATGTACTAATGCCACTGAACTGTACACTCGAAAATGGTTGAGATGGTCAATTTATGTGTGTATTTCTACAATGTAAAAAATTTTTTTTTAAAATTAGGGCAGTCATTTTTCTTGAGTGACTTATTATAGAAGGGCTCTGAAAACAGTTACGGAGGTGAAGTTACCAAAAACCTTTGGAGCAGAGATGTGGTCAGATAACTGTATAACCTCCTGAGGAGACTGTTTTACAGAAACAAAATTAAACACATTAGATGTATAAATTAGAGCACATTTGTATACATTTTAGTTTTATTTCTTCCTAGATGTGCCTGTGTCTTAAACACTTTCTGGGGCATCTTATCATTAGAGCCAAAATCCTCGTAGTGGTCTTATGAGAGCAGCAGATGGATCCATGTTTGTTCCAGAAAAGTGAAGGAAATTGCCCAGAATCGCCACCCAGTCCCTGACAAGACAGGATCTTTGATCCTGGTGGTTCTTGATTCCTGGTAGTGTTGAAAGTATCACACCTGAGGCCCAACTCCTCCCCCTCCCCACTGCCCCCAACAGGTACCTCGCTGAATGGATGGTGTATGGTTACCCCTCAGAAAACGTCTGGGAGTTGGACCTGAAGCGTTTTGGAGCCCTCCAGAGCAGCCGCACCTTTCTGCGCCACCGGGTCATGGAAGTCATGCGTAAGTGGAGCTTTACCCTATGGCACCTGCTTGCAGGTGTTTTATTTGGGGCCTGTTGTGTCATCCAGAGGACAGAGTTTCCTCAGTTCTTCAGTAGTTGCTTCAAGCTGAGCTTGTGATGTTTGACTGTTTCAGGCCTGTGTTGGGGACATGGTCGCCCATGTGGTATTTATGGAACATTTTTTCTTGCACCTATTACCTGTTTTCTTCATGGAGTAGGACAGTGGAATAGGACTTATGGGTGGTAATTTCTGCTAGAACCGGGGCAGCAGCTTCTAGTATGTTCCCAGCATTGCCTGCTTTCCACTGTGCCTGGAAAGCCGGTGTCACAGTGAATACTCTCGCTCCCCGCTTGGTCTTTGGGATCATGGTTTGCTTTCCAAGACAGAGAACCTGCCCAGTTATTCTCAAAGCTTCAAGCTTCTCTGAGTGATTTTGTCATTAACCCATGATATAGTGGCAACATAGGAAACGACTTCTCATGTAAATATAAAACATACATCCCTGCTCTTTCTCCTTGTTCTTGCTTCCCTCCAACTTTGAAGGGTTTGCCTCTTCATTTTAACTGGTTACTCTACCTTGTCTCATTTGTTTTCTAGCTTTTGTGTCAGGAATTGACACAAAATCAGATTGTAATTTCATTTTCCTTATACTGAGGAACTATTTTCAGACTTTGCCAACATATGTCTAAATATTTTGGGCATATTTATGCTTAGGACTAAGTTTCTACATTGGCTGTGGCCACCGTTCTTGGTTAGAATAGACTGCTGGTTTACTAGCTGGAGGGTCCTTTCATCATGAACATTTGGATGACCTTTAACACTGCATGGCCTATGGCAGAGATCGCATATTTGGGAGAGACTTGGACCTGGCATCAGTATGTGTAACTGCTAAGCTTCTTTAATTTTAGTAAATACTTTGGTTAAAATGTTGAACTATCATAAGACTAGATTTCCCCACCCATAGTTACTTTAGAACCTGTGCAAATCATAACTGAGCTTGAATTTTTCCTTGATGATATGACATGTTTAATGGCATTTTCTGATTCTCATAAAATAGAAATTGCAGGCATGATAGAAAACGGGGAAGGGGAAAGTAGAACCTAAAATGCCGGAGATTGACAAATTGTCACAATGTAAGAAAACCAGTGTGGCTTCCTGATCTTTAATCTCCCAACTTCTCCCACTACCCCAATGTACATCCTGTGTTGAATGGTGTGAGGTCAGGTCTTCTCTTTCGAAGGGACTAGAGTTCACAGTCTTTCTGGCTATTTTTACTCATTGCTGCTGCAGGTTGGACATTAGGAGAAATGAATTCTGACCCTAGCTTTGTTACGTGTATAATGTCACTGGGACAATACTGTGCAACCTATAAGGTTTCAGAACCACCAAATCAGGTCTGCTGTGTGCTCTTTCATTTCAGAAATGGGTTAAACATTAGAGAGAAAATATCTGTAATGGGTCTGAGATCCCAACAGTACAGGCATTGTAAAGAATCAAGTGCCATTTTTTCACACTTTGTAACCACCTGTGACCTTAGATATCACCTTGATCTCTCCTCCTACGGAGCTCAGCAAAGTTTAGAACTACAGTGGTATCTCGGTTTTTAAACATCTCCATTGATGAACATTTCGGGTCACGAACTCCGTAAACTCGGAGTAAATGCTTCGGTTTTCGAACATGCCTTGGGAGTGGAACATCCCACGCGGCTTCTGCTGAGGGCAAGATCCTGAGGCCCGGCTTTCGGCTTTGGATCCCTCGGTTTTCGAACGTTTCGGAACTCAAACCGTCTTCCAGAACGGGTTACATTAGAAAACCGAGGTACCACTGTATGACCTTTCTTCCATTGTTTCTATCTACTAATTTGGAACCATAATTGTGAACAGAGATGCAGAGTCATGTGACTCATAGCTATATAACTATGAAGGGGTGATACTATCTCTTGCAGTATTTTTCTTTCTTCTGGAGCATGCCTGTTATACTGGGTACTGTTTGGCAAATTATGCTACATTAGCCTGGAAAGAATGCTCTTTTGAATGGGAGCAACTCCAGAGTCTAGTGGATAGTGGGTACTCAGCTCTGTGGCTTGGGCTTTCGTAGACTCTTCTTATCTGTTCTAGCTCTGCTGTATGACTTGAAGGTTCCCCGTTGGGACTTCCAGACAGGGAGGCAGTTACGCACATCTCCTCTCTATGACCGGCTGGATGCACAAGGAGCCAGGTGGATGGAAAAACATGGATTTGAGAGGCCAAAATACTTTGTGCCACCAGATAAGGGTAAAGAGGCACATTCTCATTTCTGTTCACTTTTTTTGCCCTGAGAATAAAACTTATTTTTAAATGTATGTAGTTAGAATGTGTTCCTGGAAGAATAAATAATAAAAATTTGCTATAGTAAACTATATAGGAGACTCCCCAGTATAAATCCCCTCCTTCTCTCTCCCTCGTATTTTTCTGTTCCATAGACCTCCTGGCATTGGAGCAGAGCAAGACTTTCTATAAGCCGGATTGGTTTGACATTGTGGAGTCTGAAGTCAAGTGCTGTAAGGAAGCCGTATGTGTCATTGACATGTCCTCTTTCACAAAGTTTGAAATAACAGTAAGTATTTGGGAACCAGTGTAACAGACTAGGAAACGGTACATAGTTATTGAATGCCACTTCTTTTCATCTGTCTCTTCAAAACTGATTCTGTAAGAACTCTGGTATATTTTAATGTCTTATCTTTATTACAACATTTTCCTGATTTTATAGCTTTGTTTCTGGTTTTTAATCTGCTTGCAGAGGCCCATTTATCATTAGAATCAACAGCTAGCTTTCTGTGTTGCTTCTTGCAGTGGCATAGATCTGCAAACATTGTTGCACTAGTCCTGGCTAATAGAATTTTCTTAGCAAATTGCATTGCTCATCAGGCCGTGTTACCCAGCCAAATGCTCTTGTGCTCTCTCTGCTTTGTTTCTTAACCCTACAGTCCACCGGAGATCAGGCATTAGAAATTCTGCAATACCTCTTCTCCAATGACCTTGATGTGCCCGTGGGCCACATCGTGCATACCGGCATGCTCAACGAGGGTGGAGGGTATGAAAATGACTGCAGCATAGCACGCCTCAGCAAGCGCAGGTGAGGTCAGCTGCCGTGCTAGTTCCTTCCAGCACTGGTTCCCTGAGGTGCTGTGGCAGAGCAGAGCACCCAGCTCACTCTCCAGGAAAGCAGAATTATACCAAGGACAGAAAATTTCACTACCCCACAGCCAGTTCATTAGCAGCCCAATACAAAAAGAAATCACCAGCAAGAAAAACAAACTCAGGAGATTATGTAAAACTTGATGTGGAAAATTACCCTACTGAGAGAAGACATTTTATCTTGTATTCTATACAGTGACAGAAGCCAGTCTTCTGCTTGTCCTTACATGGTGTGTCCTAGAGTTCCATGCTCTTGGCGCTCTGAAAGCTGAGAGAGCCCATTTGCCAGAATTCTAGTCATTGCTTTGAAACTAGCTCAGAACTCAAATTGCTTCTTTTTTCTTTTTTTAAAAAATATATATTGATTTCAGAGAGAGAGAGAGAGAGAGAGAGAGAGAAACATCAGTGATGAGTCATTGATTGGCTGCCTCCTGCACGCACCCAACTGGGGATCGAGCCCCCAGCCCAGGCATGTGCCCTGACCGGGAATCGAACCCCAATCGCCTGGATCCTAGGTCGATGCTCAACCACTGAGCCACGCAGGCTGGGCTCGATTGCTTCTTGATCCTTCTTGCTGCTACCTGGTTTTGATTGCTTGTGGGTCTCACTTTCAGTTTCTTCATGATTTCTCCAACCGACCAGCAGGTCCACTGTTGGGCCTGGCTTAAGAAGCACATGCCACAAGACAGCAACCTGCTTCTGGAGGATGTCACCTGGAAATACACAGGTACCTCTCTCGGGGTCCTCAGGGGTCAGCTGAGTGAGGAAAGGCCAGTGGATCTGGATTTGTCAGTATTAGAAGCGTGGAAGAGGCTCTCTGGTTATAGAAAATTGATCTCTTAATACTTTCGTATGTTTTTTTAAGTGAAGCATGGAATGAGTTCTTCAGTAACTGTTTTGTTCATTGCTATGTCCCCTCAGACAGCATGTAGGAACACAAATATTTGTTGAATGAATAAATAATTTTTCTGTTTTGTTTTCCAGATTAAATAATTTTTGAGGCATTTTTATATTATCTAAGTATTATTTTATTTTCTTCAAAATTTTCCCTTGTTTTTTTGTTGTTTTTTAATGAGTAAATAATTTTTAAGGATGACTTAAATTTCCTGATTGTCTCAGCGGTTCTGTCGGGAGCAGCCCTCCTCTAATGCCACCCCACCATTCCAGGTCTGACCCCTCCCCCGACTTAACCTACTCCTGCTCTTGTCCCACCAGTCCCTCATTCTCAACTCATTGTAGCAGCAAATATGATAAACTCTTGCTATCAGATTGGCAAACTACAGAATCTTGTTGAACCAAAGTTGTTTTCTGGCCCGTATGTGGGTAGTTGAAGCTGCTGTCACAAACATGACAGATCCAGAGTGACTGGGCAGCTCTCCTCCTGGTCCTGATTTGGGATTGGTGCCTTTTCCCTCATGTAGCCACACTGGAAAGATGAGGAGAATGGGAAGTGTGCAGGGGGGTTATGTCTGGCCCTGGAAGTGGGCTCCTGTCCCATTGGCCAGGAATTGGTTTCATGATCCCATCTGACTGCAACGTAGGCTATGGAATATTGCCTTCCTGTGCCCCCAGGAAGAGGAAACTCTCTAATCAGGCCTTCTCATGCCCGCAGTCAGTAGCTGCATTTAGCAGGCCTGTCAGGAGTGGTGTATCTGTCAGAATTAGGTACACCTTGGGTTGCCTAAGCAAAGGAATGCTTTTGTGGTCTTGTGACCCAGGCCTGGTCATAGGTGAGCAAGTCCACAACACACCTTTCCCATTGACTCAGCCGTTTACCTGGAGCAGCCAGACATCTCTTGTTCTTTTTCTGTTTAGCCCTCAATCTGATTGGTCCTCGAGCTGTGGATGTGCTGTCTGAGTTGTCTTATGCCCCTATGACGCCAGACCACTTCCCAAGTCTCTTTTGCAAGGTAGGTGCTAGTAAAGTTCTAGTTTTTGAATGGGCAGGGAATATCTTTAATAGAGATGGCAATTACATGTTATTACTACAGCATTAACACCCACAAAGTGTGTCAACTTTTATTAAGTAAATAAAATGACAGAATAAATTCATTTCTTTATTTTTCACTCTTCAAGGTTTCCTTATTTAATAAGCATTAGGATATATTTGAAGTGGATTTAACTTCTCTGAATATCAGTTCTATATATTTATTGCTTTCTATAGCAGTAGATTAAAATTCTAAGTTATAGGATTATGGCACTGATGCCAGAAAACACCAGTAGGGTCAGGTCCCTTCTCTCCAGCAACGCTTCCTCTCTCCCATGCCCAGAGTAACAGCAGCTTCTGTGTATGTGGCATCTTCAGGTAATAAATGGCGTGGGTGAATCCCTAAACAACTTACATAAGTTTCTTTCTTATACTTGGCCACAGCAGCTGAGTGAAACAAATTATAACTAAATAAAAGAAATAACTAAATGCTCTTGAGGAAGTGGCTGATTTGAGGTCAAAATGGACAGATGTTTTTGTCAACCTATAACAAGCAGCTTGGGGACAGTTACTGACAGAGGCCCTTTGAAGTTCAGACCAAAGTTGGGATCCAAAGTTGATTTTTTCCTCCATGGCAGAGTGAAAGAAACAGATAACTCTCACATAGCCGTTAGTGACTCCTTCATAGCACTGTCTTTGCTTCTTGACGAAGTGATCCACGTGTGTGTGCTCACAGAGCACCCCGTGATGTTGGGTTTCCTGTGGAAACAGTTTGCTGTAGTGCCATCTGGGACTTAGCACTTTCCTTTATGGGAACAGTAATTGAGACAGAGGTAACTGAGCTGCTGTGAACAGGTTTTGAACATTAGAAGCTCGGTCTCAGACTCTAGGGTAGCAGGTGAACCACGTTCTGTGGGCATCAGGCATCAGATCTTTTGTGGGCAGGTGCCCAGGACTGTCTGCCAAGTCCTCCAGAGGAGACATTTGCCTGGTTTTCATTGCTCCCCACACACCTGACTAAAACAAATCTTTTAGCAGGACTTTCCAAAAGTAGTATTTCATGCTTGGCTAGCACTCCTGAAACTGATGACATTCATGAGAAGAGATACGTAGAGGCTGTGCTCCATTCCTAATGACCTGGATACCTGGAAACAGACCATTTTGATGAAATTCTTTCATTCACATGTCTCTCCTTTAGGGTCAAAGGGTGCAGAACTAAGGAGAGGGGTTTACCTCAGGCATCCATCCCACTTCCCTTGGAGGTTTGACACTGTCTCCCTTTGTTTCCACAGGAGATGAGTGTGGGCTATGCAAACGGGATCCGGGTGATGAGCATGACGCACACGGGAGAGCCAGGCTTCATGCTTTATATCCCCATAGAGGTGAGAGGCACGGAAGGTGTGCTGGCTCCCACACCTATTGAGCCTGGCAGGGTTAGAGCCATGTCTGATTGCGCCTCGGTAATTGAATAGGCTGTGCTAAAGAAACCAGATACCAGCTTTTTATTTTCCTTTCCCTGCCAGTCTCCATTGCTCTCTCCCTCCACTTCGCTAATTCAGGTGTTTCACTCACACACACCACAGGCTGTGTGGTCCCCTTGTCCACATTTAAAGTTATCTGACCGTGGTGGTGTGTTCAGTAGTTGCCTGTTCACCACCTGCAGTAATGCAATTTATAGAGCAGCAGACTGAATTAAAACACCAATGAAGCTGATTTTTCTGTTGTTTTTTTCCAGTTTTATTGATATATAATTGGGATACATTAGTGTATAAGTACAGCGTAATGGATTGACTTACACATATTGCAAAATGATTTCTGCCATAAGGTTAGCATCCATCACCTCATATAGGTACAAAAAGAAAAAGCAAGATTCCCCCCCCCCC